TAATTCCCTTCAACACGATGGCAAGAACCATTTCTTTTGTATTTCAGCATCAACAATTGACAACATAAAATCACAAGCATAACAAATACTCCCTCCGTTTCTAAATATAAGTCTTTTTAGATTCGAATATAGACTACATACGGAGCAAAATAGAGTGAATATAGAATCTAGAATATGTCTGTATACATTCGTATGTAGTATATATTGGAATCTCTAAAAAATACTTATATTTAGGAACAGAGGAAATATATATGACAACAATTCAATGAACAAGTGCATGCATGCCTATCAATAATATGTAATGAATAAATCAACAAATTGTGTCATCGGTTTTCATATATAGAAACATATATTGTTAGCACTTAGTAATAGAAAATGAAATGATCTACCTCTCCCTTCCATGTGGTTATCGATTTATCATGTCTAAACATGATGTGTTTGTTGCCCCTCTAGTGAAAATAACTATTAACTAATGACACCCGAGAATTTGGTTTTAAACCTTGTTAGTCCTAGGCGGCCTGGTTAGGTATTTTGGCATATCTATGTTTGCATGCCAATCTAACTTCAAAATATTTTATAAGTTAGGGGTTATTTGACATACTGATCTTTTAGTTTGTAGTTTTATGTGTAGCCATCAAATCCAAGAGGAAGCTACCTAAGGTCCTAGCCGTGTCGACGGGGATGGGATGCAGGGGTCTAGGGAGGTCCTCTGACCAACCGAGTCGACCTCGAATCACCTCCGCCCTCTCGTTCATCATCAGCTGTCGCCATGGGCCACTCCTTCACCATGTGGTACAAGAGCCTCACACCTGCGCACCACGCCCAAATTGCAGCGAAGGTCTGCAACACGGTGGCCCAGCACCAGCCACGCGTTGGCAGAGGCCAACCTTCGAGCTCTCCGAACGCTTGAAGGATATGGAGGAGGGCGACCCCATGGAGAAGCGTCATGCGTCAGCATCGCAGGTGGAAGTGGAACATGCACCTGCTCCGGTTGAAGAGCCGTTGGTGTCTGAGTTCAGCATGCTTCAGCCAGGCAACACTATGATCGGGTGTTGGCGGAGGCAGATGACAAGGAGCAGGCACCCTCATCGACCGAGGAGTCACCAATGTCCGTGCTCAGGATCCCACTGGTCAGCTCTTGGAGGAGCTTCGACAGACAAAGGAACAACTAAAGGCGGAGCCTGCGTCCGAAGCTGTCATCGTGGCAATGGTGGGGGCAGACTTCCTGACCGATCATCGACATCGGGCCATGTACGAGCCTGTGCACACCGCCGTGCCATCCTGACCAACTTCAACAACAACGCGGGCGCGGGACCGTCCTGCGCGGAGGCCGACGAGCAATCCTCGGTTGGGGATGAGTAGAGTAGGATTTATTATTAGTTGTTTTTAGGTCTTTTGCTATGTAGGAACTATTCCGAAAAAATCAATGAAATTCAGTGTCCAATTTTATTTTGTGATTCTTGTTGGATAGCTGGCGCCATGCTCGTTGTCCGCGGACACGTTGTCTGAAATTGATAAATACAGTACCAAGGACATGTTAACTTGATAGAAGCACAACTAAAACATAGCCCCTAAAAATAAACTAACATCATATTGTAGGTTGTCATGTCATAAGTTAATATCAGACTTTGCACGTAATTAAGCTAAAACATAATTCAATATAATCGGTCAGGCAGGCTTAGAAAAATGGTTTGAGCAATTTAAGAACTATTCGCCGATGCTTTGAAAAGAGGTTTCTGAGTGTCAAAGAAGGTTTCATATAGTTCGCCCAACCTTTCGGTTGCATTTGGCCTTTGCATCATGGGCGCAATGGGTCACTTAGTTTAGTATATAAAAGGCCCGGGTTCCATACGCCACCAGAGTGGGGGTTGGAGACGGTCCAGAGCAATCTCATTCCGAGTCTCCATCTAGAATTATTTCATATGTTAAGAAGCACAATGCTTTGAAATAGAATAGGCATTGCTTCCACGTACCCTACCTACTACAACCCACCCACCCCAAAAGAAATCAGATGCGGGTCGTGGTCAGTTAATCAAAATAACTGATTAAGCAACTCCATCAAGCCACTGGGCTAACTTTCGGTTCGTGCCAGTAGTAGGGGAACCCTACATATAGACAAAAAGTCTGGTTTTCTCCGTTCACTTTTTTTTTCTCCGGGTTACATTAGTTTCTTCGGGTTTTTTATCTTTGTTTTTTCCTTTGGGTTTTTTGGGTTATTTATTTATTTATTATTCTACATTCTTATATACATGCTCAACATTTTTTAACTACTTGTTCAACATTTTTATATACATGATCAACATATTTATAAATACTTCTTCAAAAAAATTCAAATAATAATTCAACATTTTTAATACAATGTTCAACATTATTCAAATACCCGTTAAACATTTTTATATACATGAACAACAGTTTTTCAAATACTTGTTCAACATGTTTCCAATACTCGATCAACATTTTCCAAATACCGGGTCAACATTTTTATATACATGATCAACATTTTTTTTCAAATACTTGTTTAACATTTCTCAAATACTCGTTCAACATTTTTCAAATACCTGTTCAACATTTTTATATAGTTGTTCAACATTTTTAATACTTGTGGAACATTTTTCAAATACTTGTTCAATTTTTTAACATGTTTTTAAGAGTGTTTTTTGCAATATGTATATTTATAATATTTGAAAGTATAAACAAAGGTAAGAAACAAAAAACGTGAAAAAAAAAGTGGCTGGTGTTGCCCGCGCGCGTGGGCCGGCCCAACTGGTGGTTCGCTTCGGCGAGGGGTTCACTCATGTGTGGCTTAATGCGAATGCGAAACATAGGGGCGCCCTTCAGTCTTCTTTTTTTTGCGCACGTCGGGCGTGGGGTCCAACCGCAGGGATCGCGTGAAGGGGACTTCTTATAACCCACCTTTGAGTATGTGCTGTCACCTCTTTTTGGTTGGTGCTTAAAGTTAAAACCTCTAAACTATTTGAAAGTTAAGTTCCTATAAAAGAAAAGTAATCAAACGATGAGTTTTTCCTAAATACACAATAAGATTGAGCTTATGCCGTGGGAAACTTGAAACATAAAGCAAAATTATGACTTGATTGGAAAAGAAATTGAATAAACTTCCAAACAGGTTCTTAACCGTATGTCTGTATCCAACAAATAACAGTTGAAAATAAGCAAGTGAATCTATGCCTATGTACACTTATATGATCACAGTAACCCATTCACTTGTTTCAAACTTGAAACAACAACACAAAACGACAAGCTTTGTCAAAAGTGTAGACACATGTTACAATTTTAGTATTTGCCATCATAAAAAAATGCGTTCCAGTGTTTTCCATTTATGTTCGTGAGCAGTTTAAAGCACCAAACGACAAAGATTGCATCATTGAGTAGAACCAAATGGTCATTTAGTGCTTCAGATGCAATTTCATAATGGTGTCACAACTCACAATTTTCACAGCATCAAACATTTGATCGGGAGCCTCCCGGATCAGGAAAACATTCCTACTCTCTGAGAACTCGCATACTGAAGCATGAAAACGAAACACCAAAACAGAATGCACTTCAATGAGACACCAAAACAGAATGCACTTCATCGAAACAACTACGAAGCAGTCTGATATCATGAAGCCCCTAAACATACCGAAAAAGGCTTTCGCCCTGCTTTATAAATAAAGCAAACCACCACAGAGCACACATACAGAGTCAAGTCCACACACACACACCCAAGTCTCACAACACAGTACATAGGTTCTGCTGAGGGCACAGCTCAACAAGCCCAGAAAAATAAAAACAACAACAGAACGCGCCAGACGAAGATAGCGCCCCTAAACATATACAAGTCCTGAACCCAAAACAGTGAAAGCCGTGAGTCAGAGCAGTCCACACTAAACCTTGCGCCTTCATACACCCTGTACTAGCTTCAGATAAATGGGCTCGTGCACCTTTATTTTAGTAGGATCATGAATGCAGAACCTAAGCGGGATGCCCTTTCCATCATCAGGTACCTCATCCTTGGGCAGAATTAGGTTGTATCCCTTTGGTAGCCCATCAGACAGCGATGAGCTTCGTATCTTGTACGTTGAACTCTGATAATAGCCAGTTGTAAAGCAACTGTAGGACATTTGACATTTGAACTTGGAGTTTGTACCTTTAGGTTGGATGCAGACAACAGAGATGGCATGCCCGACTGGCTCTAGTGCCACGTTGAGCAAGAAAATTACCCTTTCTTCGGTACGAAGAAAATGTAGACCTGGTTCTAGGTGGAACTTAACATCTTCATAGTATTTGATGGTTGTACATGGCCACTTGTGCTGGGAGGCAAAATGTTCAAGGAGGGCGTCTGTTGGCCCTGCAAAGCTGCAGCTGGACTCCGGGCAGAAACATGGGGTGTTAGGGCATGCCTCCTCGTGTTCTTCCCTTTGGTAGTAAGTCAGCTTTTGGGCGCATCCATAATTGGCATTGCAGCAAGCGACTGTGACTGATTCCATGAGACGTTCCATCCCTAGACAGCGCTTGAAGGTAGTTTCGGCAGAGCACAAGTGACACTTGTTGCGCACGAGCTTCGGGCGGCAAGACGAGCATACGAAATGCCCCACAGAACACTGTAGAAAAGGAAGAATTAGCCGAGTCCACATGTGAGAAAAACTTTTTAACAGAAAACAGAGTTGAACTGTTGAAGCACTCTACTACAAAGCAATATGATAAGTCAGTACCGCACAAAATTTCTGAACTATTCATAAGTCTGTAAATTTGAAGTTGTGAACTTATAGTATGACCGATATACAACTCCAAAGGGGGGCAAATCAAACATAATGCTATTAGAGAGGTATATATATCATCCACCCCTGATCCATAGCCTACTAGGGAACAGCTGTGGACTAAAAAACGGTTGTACATAGTTGATAACAGTTTCAGTATCGATCAAAATATTACTGTCCTAATACATTCTCTACAAAACGAATGTCAGCGACCATAGCTACTCTGACCATATTGTCTCAATAAACTGTTTTTTAGCAAGTAACATTGTGTGTGCGTGGTGCGCCCCTGATTAATATCCTACTAGGGAACAGCTGTAGACTAATAGACAGTGTAGATTAGTGCTGACAGTTTTGATCTCAACCAAAATTATTAGTGTCCTAATTCTCTACGGATACAAAATTTCAGCGACCATATCTACTCTGTTCCATGCTGTCACAAGAAACTGTTTTTAGCAAGTAGCACTAGATCCAACGGTTAGTTTTTAATTTCATCTGAACTTTGAGAGACCGGTAATTGAATATATACACATGTAACCTACCTGGTATATCGGAGGCCTGAGGGGATGAAAGCAGACGGGGCAGTCGAGGGCGTCCATCCCCATGGTGACATTCTGCCTCTTGCCGCTGCTCTCTCCCTCGCCCGAGGCTTCCACTCGTCTCTTGCTAGATGTGCCACCGTCCATCGCCACCGAAACTCGCTCGACGTTACAATTAAACGCGCAGCAGAGCTTCACACCTATTGGTGAACACAAACAGCCTCACAAATCTGCTTCCCTGTTCCACAACATATTACTGGTAATAAGAGCCACTCAAGTTATACTGGTGTATAAGAGGCTTCCTGTGTTTCTGCCAGACTGGTAACGGAAAAGCGACGCTCCGGACTGGAGCACGCATTAGAGGTGTGCTAAATCTAATCATCCTCAATTGCTGTAATTTGTTCATGTCTTTATCTATTTAATTAATTTTTCTGTTTTGGTTGAGAAATATCTAGGCTGCTTTGTGTTAATTTATTTCTTGATCAATTCAGTAGAGGACCAGTGACTACATGCAACTGGAGATAATCTCAAGGACAAGCAGTCCAAAGGTAAGAAACTTACCTTGAATAACCGCCGACAGGAGCCCGAGGTCACCGTCGGCGATGAGGCAGACTTCTCGCCGGCGACGCCCACTCCTGGCTGCTCCTCGGAGGCGAAGGAAGAAGGTTTGCCGACAGTGCCCAAGCGGGCTCTGCTCTGAGCCGGAGGAGAGCACCGGAGAGGGGCCAGAGATGCGTCGGAAGAGGAGGCGACGGCGGCGGAAGATTGGAGCGACGGAGGTGCGGTGTCAGAGGAAGAAGGGTGGGCTGGATATGGGCTGGGCCAGCGGGTATTGTGAGGTTTCCACACACATTTACCCGCGCGTCGCTAGTTGGCCGGTCCTCCGCGCTGGTGCCAGTTTTCTTTTCTTTTTTCTTCGTTTTTTTCTTATCCCTTCCATTGATTTGTCATTTTTTTGTTTTATATATTTATTTATTTTTAAACATGATAATTTTCTATCATTCATGATAGTTTTAGAAAAATTACGCACATTTAAAATTGTTAAAGGTTTCTTTGAATTTTTGAACTTTTCCATAATTCACAAACATTATATAAAAAAACATGGATTTCTTAATAAAAATGCAAACATTGTTCATACTTCGTGAAATTCTACAAGGTTAGACTGTTTTTATAATTTTGAGAGCATTTTTAATTGAAATAAATATTTCTTCTAGCAGATGATTTTATTTTGCAGTGTATTTTTTGATACCTTTTTCATGATAATATTTCTATTAGTATTGTACGTTTCACATTTATTTCAAATATATATACAGAATTTTATGTTACTTATGCTTTCATTTCAATCATTATTCTTTTAAAAAATTTAAATACAAAAATGAAACCGACATTGCCTGCGGCCCATGGAGCGTGCAGGTGTGCGCCACCTCCCCAATTATACTCACAAGTCATGTAAGGGCATCCGCAATGTATGCCATACACTCATGACAAATTCACTTTTAGGCTATGGAACTAGTTCTAACACATTGTGAGCCAGATGCCAAAAGCTGATTTCAAGGGAACCAGAGCATGTAGCTGCTCCCATGCCAAATTATCTCGACGAAATAAATAATGTGAGGTTCATTGATGGGTGAGGAAAGAGACCTGGATATATTTGAGAAAGAAGAGTCTTTTTATACTATCTTGTGTCCGCTTGGATCCACCTAGCAACGATTTTACGATGGCACTATTGCGGACATCTATCGAAGTTGGCATCACTACCAGTGGCGGAGCTTCATGGGGGCCAACCTAGGCGGTGGCCCCCCCTAGCCCAAGAAAAAAACACCTACTACTCATTAGTTTTTCTGCCATATGTCCAGCAAAAACAGGTTAAACCTCATAGTTTTGCCCCTCCTTAGCTCATTGCCCCTCCAAAGATTTGGCCCAAGCTCCGCCACTGATCACTACCATGCATGATAACGTGGCATATTTGGCCTCAATCACATTGTGGCTACCCTAACAACAATATAATACTCCCTCTGTCCGAAAATACTTGTTGGATGAATGGATGTATCTAGACGCAATTTTAGTCCTAAGTACTCTCATTTTTATCCATTTCTCTGACAAGTATTTTGGACGGGGGGAGTAGAAGACTTATACTCTCCTCGGCTCAAAATAAGTGTCTTAACTTTGTACTAACTTTAGTATAAAATTTTACTAAGTTTAAGACACTTATTTTGGGACGGAGGGAATAGTTGTTTACATGTCGTTTTTGTCTGTGTGGAGAAGAGAAATATGAAAAAAAAAATAGGGGGTGGGCTCTCTTGCAGGAGTCATCCTCCACACATGCGTCTGAAAAACTATACTCTCTCTCTTCCATAATGTAAGACATTTACGGGATGGAGGGAGTAATAAATATGAAGGAGAAATAGAGAAGTGAAAAAAAAACTAGTCTTATGGCCTGTTCGGTTCACAGGAATTTCAAAGAAAACTTTGAAGGAAAGATTTCTACTGGAATTTTCACCCTTGATGCGTTCGGAGCAAGGGAATTGTGAATAGCAAAACTCGGAAAAGTTTCTCTATTCTCTGTCCAGGTTTCAACTCCACCTTGCCAAAATGGAAGAGATCGATTTCTCACCATTTATAGATAAGCAAAACATCTACAGAATGTGTCAAAATATAGATAACAACTGTACCTCAATGATTCCGTGGATATGGTTATGGTGGGACTATGACTGGAGCCACGACCATGTTGTTGGCAGCCGGCGGCGGGACGAAAGCATTCTTGATCAGGATGGCGACGCGAACTATGACGGCCAGGAAGACAATACCCATGACCGTACCGCCATCTATCAGTCGTCCCTACAGAGCAAAGCAACAGTGAAGCCACAAATAGTAAAGTGATATTTACTACGTACACAACAGATGCGCGTACATTTTCCTCTTTCTTGACTGCCTCTAATTCCGTGTACACAACAGTGAATGATATGCGTCGGAACTCGATTTGCCTCTAATTATACAAAATGTGATTTGCATACCATATATTCAAAACTGTTATGGGGCACACCGGGGGCATTTGCCCCCCCCCCCCCCTCGACACGTTATATTTATCCGATAGTAACTTATGGTTAAGTATATGTGTCTCATAATTATTGTTTGCACCATGTAATCACATATACATGATGTAGTAAGGTTTTCTTTGCTAATAAAATTACAGCTTTGATTTTTTATACCTTCATAATAATTTCATGATATACAATATATGCGGGTGAAAGTATTTACGTTACCCTCTAATACCCCTCATTCGCCCTAGGGCCACCATGGTTCTAGGGTCGGCCCTGGAAGCAGTGTCGGAAGGAGTTGGAGATGACGTGGAGGCCCATGTAGCCCGTTAGATAAGCGTGTGGTCCTGGTCGGGATTGTCCTTTTTCAGATGCGACAAACTAAGTACTCCCTCCGTTCCAAAATAAGTGTCTTAACTTTGTACTAACTCTAATACAATTTGTACTAAGCTCAAGACATTTATTTTGGGACGGAGGGAGTATTTAGCAGAAATCAACGGGAATTGATTGGGATTAGAAAGTAGAGTGCCAATCTCAGGGGTTTTGAGTTGAAGGTTTGATTTAGACTGAGAGTGCAAATTCAAGGTTTATTTCAGAATTTTCTCTTGATTAAATGTGCATTGAGAAAAGGACAATAGGATGTCGGTATATAACATTTTGCGTGAGTCCGGCTCTACCACACCTCCGTCGACCACGCACGCGCTCTGCTCTGGTCGGCGGCAGCACGGCGGCGCACCGCACCGGCCCGCTGTTTTCACGTTGGGGCACGGGAGAATTCCTGTCGGTGCCGGTGCGGGCCACGTGAGGAGTCAAACGCCGGCACGGCAGCGCGAGCGCGTGTCAATGGGAAAAGGCCACCGCCACAGCGCGGCGTCCCACCCGCACGGTCGGTCACCGTCATCCCATTCCCATACCCCACGCGCACTCCCCGCCACCCCCACTTCCTCCCCTGTCCTCCTCTTCTACCTCTCTCTCCCCACGGACTACATCCAGCCGGCCAGCCTCTCTCTCTCTCTCTCTCTCTCCTTCGGTTGAGCGGCGACAGATCCCTGCCGGCCTGAGTGCGCGGATGGCGTCGACGACGGCGTACGCGCGGCCGTCCAAGCTGCCGGGCGCGGGCCCGGGGGAGCGGAGGCCGGCGCCGCCGCGGCTCATCCGGGCCTTCCTCGCCTCCGGCGCCAAGATCGAGCCCCGGAAGCTCGCCGCCGGCCTGCTCGCCGGCTGCTGCCTCGCGCTCCTCACCTACGTCTCCCTCGCCAAGCTCTACGCCGTCTACTCCCCGGTCTTCGGTGCGTGCCCTCCGTCCCGATTCACCAATTACTCCTCCGCTCTGCCCTACTGTGCTGTGCCACATTCGATTCGATCTAACAATTACTGCTGCTCTGCTGCTGCCGGTTCCGCCGCCAGCCACCACCTCGGCCCTGCTCCAGAACGCTCCGCCGTCGTCCTCCTCGTCGGCGCCCGAAGAACCCGCATTTACTGGCGGCAGGAACGGCAGCGCCGTGGATCGCGTCGATCTGACGGAGAAGGGCCCGGCGACTGCCGGCTCTCGAGAGCCCGGGGTGCCGGAGGCGGTCTCCAGAAAGGAGCACGCCGAGAAGGCGCCGGCGCCGGCCAACACCTCGGCACCAATGCCATGTAAGTGAATCTCTTCTTGAGCTCTCTTTTTCTTGGCACCTTAATTAATACTAGAAGGAAAGCAGAGCAAAATTATCAATCCCAGGTAGGCAGGCAACCTCTTTCAGAGATTCAATGCTCTGTACTCTGCAATCTGGGCAAAATTTGGTTGCCCACTTCAATTAATTATTTTCCCCGGATTAGTAGTTGTTAGAAATAGAAACGTGCTACTAGATCTTTGTATAGAAAAAGAAGATGTGCCACATCTCTCTGTAGAGAAAGAAATGTGGTTGCTAGATCTGCTGGTATCTAATGCGACTCTTGATGGTGGATTCAGCTCAGGGAGAAAGGAAGAGCAACAGCAGCAGCAATGTCGCCGCCGGTCCGATGAGCTGCGACGAAAATGGCGTGGACGAGGGGTTCCCCTACGCGCGGCCGGCGGTCTGCAAGCTGTCTGGCGACATCCGCGTCAGCCCCAGCCAGAAGACAATGTACCTCGTCAACCCGTCCGGCGGCGGCGGCTTCGACGAGAAGGGCGAGAAGCGGCTCCGGCCCTACGCCCGGAACGACGACTTCCTCCTGCCCGCCGTGGTGGAGGTGACTGTCAAGTCTGTCGCCTCCCCTGAGGCCGCGCCACAGTGCACGAAGCAGCATCGCGTCCCCGCGGTGGTGTTCTCCGTCGCCGGGTACACGGACAACTTCTTCCACGACAACACGGACGTGCTGATCCCCTTGTTCCTCACCACGGCGCACCTGAAAGGCGAGGTGCAGCTGCTGATCACCAACTACAAGCCATGGTGGGTGCAAAAGTACACGCCGGTGCTGCGCAGGCTCTCCAACTACGACGTGATCAACTTCGACGACGACGCCGACGTGCACTGCTTCTCCCGCGGGTACCTCGGCATGTACCGCGACCGCGACCTCATCATCGCCCCTCACCCGACGCGCAACCCGCGCAACTACACCATGCTGGACTACACCCGCTTCCTCCGAGCCGCGTACGGGCTCCGCCGCGACCAGCCGGCGGTGCTCGGGGCGGAGCCCGGGATGCAGCCGCGGATGCTGATCATCTCGCGCGGCGGCACGCGCAAGCTGCTGAACCAGGACGAGGTGGCCGCCGCGGCGTCGGAGATCGGGTTCAACGTGACCGTGGCGGAGGCTGGCGACGACGTGCCGGCGTTCGCGGCCCTGGTGAACTCCGCCGACGTGCTTCTGGCCGTGCACGGCGCCGGGCTGACCAACCAGATCTTCCTGCCGACGAACGGGGTGGTGCTGCAGATTGTGCCGTGGGGGAACATGGACTGGATGGCGACCAACTTCTATGGGCAGCCGGCGCGGGACATGCAGCTCCGGTACGTGGAGTACTACATCGACGAGGAGGAGACGAGCCTCAAGGACAAGTACCCAAGGGATCACATGGTGTTCAAGGACCCCAAGGCCCTCCACAAGCAGGGGTGGCAGGCGCTCGCCGACACCATCATGAAGCAGGACGTCAAGGTGAACATCACCAGGTTCCAGCCCTTCTTGCTCCAGGCCATGGACGAACTTCAGGAGTAGCAGCATCGTCTCCCCAGCCAGCCAGGTAAACTCACATCACAGCCACCAAACACTGTACAACAAGCAAACACAACAAGGAGAAATGCAGACTAATGTGATTCTAGGACTAGTTGCTACTACTACTGCTGCTGGAAAGGGTGATGATTTGAATCTGATCAAAAGTGGAGGCTTCAAAATAGACGGTTGTTTCTGTCATGTTGAGGATTCAAGGAACCTGCCCTAGTGGGATCGTCTTGTTGTACAATTGTCCTTGCTTCTGTAAAATGGAAGGATCATCTATGCTTTCTCCAACACCCGGGAAAAAGCCGCTACTTTGTTGCTAGTGTCCTTGTCTCTATGAAAGAGTAGGAGCATCATGTTTGGGATGTGCGTAGTCAATTTTGAGAATCAATGTTGTGTCCAAGGTGGTGAATTTTGGCTGAAATTTGCACAGTGGAAGGAAAGAACCAGTGGAATTGGTGAAATCTGCACACTGGAACCAATTGCGAATGTGGCGAGAATGATGATGGTTGCTGGTGGCCTGGATTGCTGTGCCTTTTGTTTATCCTCTATGGTTATTTTCATGTGAGGCTTAACCTTATCTGTTGTTGTTCAACTCTGTGACTGTTTAATATGAACAAGGTCTTCTTCTCAAAGGGCTTAATGGCTTGTTATATATATGGTTTCTATGCAGATATGTTCTGTTACACTACATCATGTTAAAAGGGATGAGAAAAGTGACCACAATATTTCCTGTCACTACAAAAATAGAACTGAAAAGATTTCCAGATTTCATATCTAATAATGCCTGCTTTTTCTTTGTTAGTACAATCATCAAAACCATGAGGTATTTTTTAGAAGAAAATTGGTATATAACTGTCAGACTGTCAGTATCTACTATCTAATACTAAATTTGATGAAATTGCACTTCTTGAAATCTGCAGTTGTGTTGCAATTTCTTATTTGCGCATTTGAAATCTTATCTATTTGCATTACATCACTGTTAGTTTTTTTAAAACTTTTTTTTGCTGGTTATCTTGCTTGTTAGGTACAGATTGCACTCACAGTTATAAATTTTTGCAGATGCACAATCATGATAATCTAGACTTAGCACCATGCAAAATTTCCTTTTCTCCGCTATGTGCTTTCACAGAAACTACCTTGAGAAAGCCACTGATTCCATGATGCGCATAAGGGTTGTGTGACGATCCTTGTATAAGTTCTGTACTAACATGTTGTTCTTTTAGAGGTAGTTTATGTTTAAGAACAAGATGACTTTTTGGTGGTTGCATGTTGTATGCTCAGGGAGAAAATTTCTTTTTGCAGTTTTTTTTCCTTTTTTGAAATAAGTTGGATTTATATAAGAGAAAATTGGATACAACCAAGCAATTGGCTCTAAACCCATAGACACAAAAGCGACTCTAAACAAATGAGATATCACAAATAAGATAACATGCCTTTTTTCTTTTTTTTACCTTAACCACAACATATTTGATGATAGAAAACACCGAGAATATCAGCCATTGAAGTATATGGAAAGAACTATAGATGACCAAACCTTGTTATATCACTGTAATAGTACACTACTGCGTATGACGGAGATTGACAATCGTGACAAGCATATCAGTGGGGGCGCCACTCTGTGTTAGTATCACCGTACCAGGCGGATGACATTTCTCGCAGAGGCTCGGGAAAGGGCATCTACACCCCTTTGTGGTGTTAATGATAAGTGATTAGGACTAACCTTACTCATGAGTTTGAATATACACAATTAGTCCCATGAAAATGTAGCAAAGGGGTGTTTAAATTATATACATTTTATTCTTATGCTTGAGTCATTAAAAAATCATATTACAAAGAGGGGTACCAAAAGGATGCAAATGTGGTAATTAAGTACCTATAATTAAGATATTCGATACACAAAAATAGTCCTAGAGTGAACCCTCCCCTTCCACCCAAAACGATTCTGAAAATTCAATGTGTCTGCCTTTGTTGTGCTTCAAAAATCTCTGCCGCCGCTGAATGAATCCAAGAGCTCTAAGGACCCGACAAAGCATCCAAGTGATCCGAGTTGTTGAAGCTCCAAATGAATTTCGATTGAGTCCACCCGGAAATCAACTAAAGTAGGCCCGGAACTTCCAGCAATTGGACCTCCGGATGAGGTCAGGAGCCTCCGGTGGCGCATAGGAAGTGGGTAACATGCCATTTTAAGGGGGGGCATATATAAAATCTTCTTCCCCATAGGCAAAACAATCTGTTTATTCGTTCTTGACCATTGTTAACCAACAAAAAAACTCTAGCTCCCTCCCCAAAGCCCCAAGTTTTGAACCAAGTCCGTGAAATAACACCCACGGACAACACAAATAACCAATCCGTTGTCCACAAAAACGGCAGGGGACAGAAACTCCCAAATTTTCCGTCAACACCACACTAACTGTCATAGAGACTAAACTGGAGTTAGAGGACTTCTATTCATGATCTCGTTGTGACACTAAAACATAATCAAGAGGATCTCACCATGCAACGGACGGGCACCGAGGCGACGATCAGAGGGTTGGGGCAGGCCGGCATGGATGATTGGTGTGACGACGGCTAGGGTTTCTTGCTACGCCGACTCACCTCCTGATGGTTTTTTTTTGACGGGTTCTTTGTGACTGCAGGTTTTTTTAGCGGTTCGGTTTTCTTTTTTTTTTCTTTTAGATTTTGAGCGGTTCGTGGTGGTAGGTATACTAGGTAGTAGGTTGTGTAGAGCCCGCTGGGCCAGCCCATACCCAGCCCACCATTCCTCTCACACCGCACATCCGTCAGTCCGTCGCTCCACCCTTCCGCCGCCGTCGCCTCCTCCTCCTCCCCTGCTCTCCTCGGGCTCGGACCAGAGCGCGCTAGGGCCCACTCGGCGAGGGAGCAGCGGCCTTCCCCATCCCTTCTTCCCCTCCGGAGAGAGTGGCGCCGCCACCAGGAGACCACGACCCCGAGGCCGGCCATGGCGACTAGTTCCGGCAGCCGGTAAACCTGGGGTCGGGTCGGGACGATGACAAGCATCTCAGGTACCGCTACTGCTACATTCCATCCCATCCCATGGGAAGAATAAATTTCTCCCTTTTTTTTTACTGCTTCTTCGCTACTACTTACTAGGCTGTACTGCCTGCAACTGCAATACGCATCGTCCTCTGCTCTCTACTGAGTTGATCAAGAAAGCAACGCAATTCAGCTCATGTAGATGCACTGAACAAATTTCACCCTGTGTGAAACTTAGCACAATGTAGATGCGCCCGCCCTCTGTATTGTTGCTTTTCCATTGCAAGTTTGGAAGAAACTCATGAAGCTTTTTTCTAGCTTGTGCCGAGTAATAAGCCGTTGTCACTTCAGAGACTCTTATTATCAGTATACGCTATGAAACAGGGGAATGGATTGGTGACGCTGTTGTTTGAACGGTAGGCGTGGAGCTCTGTTGCGCGTGCAATTGGAATATCAAGCAAGGCGGTACTTGTAACTTTGAGTTCTCGTGGCGATGGATGGTGCTACCTCTAGCAAGAGACGAGTAGAAGCCCCGGGACAGGAGGAGAGCAGCTGCAAGAGGCAGAATGTCACCATGGGGATGGACGCCCTCGACTGCCCCGTCTGCTTTCATCCCCTCCGACCTCCGATATACCAGGTAGGTACATGTGCACATATTTACATGACACTAGTAGAGAGCTCATATAAAATTTGAAAGGAAAATTGATTATGTATAGTTGAATATACTCTCAGACCTCCCATGAGTAGTGCTTTACTTGCTAAGAAAGGTTTCTTTTGACAGCATGGAATGGAGTAGCTATGGTCTCTGTTTTTTTTTTGTATAGAATTATGACACCGATATTTGGTTTGAGACCAAAACTGCTAGCAACAATCTACACTATTTTCTAGTCTACAGCTGTTCCCTAGTAGTAGGATATTCATCAGGGGCACACCCCGCACACACAACACAATGTTACTTGCTAAAGAACAGTTTATTGAGACGGCATGGATCAGAGTAGCTACAGTCGCTGAAATTTTGTTTTCGCAGAGAATTATGACGCTAATATTTTGGTTGAGACCAAAACTGCTAGCAATAATCTACACCATTTTCTAGTTTACAATTTATTTAGACAACATTGATCGGAGTAGCTATGGCTGCTGAAATTTCGTTTTCATAGAGAATTTATTAACATTTTGATCTGAGACTGAAACTGTTAGCAACTATGTACACCATTTTCTAGTCCGCAGCTGTCCCCTCTTTACTAATATGGGAGGGGCAGATGATGTATACCTCTTTACTAGCATTATGTTTGGTCTGCCCCCCTTTGGAGTTGGATGTCGGTTACAGATTTACAGACCAATATGTTGCATATACCAAAACTAGCCCCTACATGAATGGTTGCACAATTTTGTGTGGTGCTAACTTGTTATGTTGCTGTGTAGTGCGTCAACTTTAATTTATGTTAAAAGTTATTCTCACGTGACGACCCTGCTGATCCTTCCTGTTCCAGTGTTCTGTGGGGCATTTCATATGCTCTTCTTGCCGTCCCAAGCTCGTGCGCAACAATTGTCACTTATGCTCTGCTGAAACTACCTTCAAGCGCTGTTTAGGGATGGAACGTCTCATGGAATCAGTCATGGTCCCTTGCTCCAATGCAAAATATGGATGCGCAGAGAAGCTCACCTACTACCAGGAAGAAGAGCACGAGAAGGCATGCCCGAGCGCCCCATGTTTCTGCCCGGCGTCCAGCTGCAGCTTTGCAGGGCCAACAGACGCCCTCCTTGAACATTTCGCCTCCCAGCACAAGTGGCCGTGTACAACCATCAAATACTCCGAAGATGTTAACTTCAGCCTAGAACCAGGTCTACATTTTCTTCGTATCAAAGACAGGGAAATTTTCCTGCTCAACGTGGCACTAGAGGCATTCGGGCATGCCATCTCTGTCGTCTGCATCCAACCTAAAGCTACAAACTCCAAGTTCAAGTGTAGGATGTCCTATGGTTCCTTTTTGACAGACTATTAT